TTTAGTCCTGTTTGGAATACGTGCCAATACACAACTGAACTAAAAATGATCACCATTCTCTGTGCAGTTGACCACTTTCACCACATCATCAATAAGATAAATAATACTAGAACCAAAGTTCTTGGGTGGTAGCTCACTTATCAGTCCTTTTCCACGGAAAGATTGTCATAGTGTTGAACACCTTCTATGTAATAGCTCCTTCTTCTGTGGAGGAGTTATTCCTCTCCAAATATTAGTTTATTTTAATTAGACTCTATCAGTCCCCAAATACACCACTTGGTCTCATCTGTATGCAGCTTCCACAGTTTTCCTTGGTGAATTTATTATGAATCCAGTATTGGTGGTATTTTAGTCTTTGCAGCAAGTAGCTGTTTCTAAGTATTGCTCCTAGGGAACTTGTGGTAATGTTTTCAAAAGCACCTAAGAGCCAAGTTCCACTTTCAGTGGTGAGCAAGGTGCAGCACGCAGACAGCCATTTCAACATCTGCCCCCAGCACTATGGAAGTGCAGAAATCTCCCAGCTTTTGGTCATACTGGGCTGCTGAAGAGAAACTCGTGTTCACAGAGCCTTCCGGATATCTCCTACCTCTTCTGCATTCATTCAGTATCCCTATGGCAACTAGAGCAGCAATTGCTCACTTCGAATAGTCATCTTAGGACAGTGTTATATCATTTCTTATTTTAACTAATTTAGCGCCTGAAAATAAAAGAGTCAAAGAGCATCAATGACCCAATAGGTCTACGGAAACAACATACAACTACTTAACAGGACCTGGAGATGTCCAAACACCGCTGTTTGGAACAACTAGACTCAGCAAAAATCTACAGGTGTCTTTTTGGGCAGCACAGGACTTTTCCTTGGCACTAATTAGAATGTGGACAGGGAGAAATAGCCCTTAAATAAGGAAGAAACATCAAAACTCACATTTAGAGGAGGAGTAGCTTTTATTAAGTCAGTGTATCTGAGGTGTTTTATCTGTAGCACCGTTCTTGAAAGGCTTTTGCGTCTGTGAACTGAAATTCTTTATCATGGACTCTAAACAGCAATGAAAATTATACAGTGAAGGGCTCAGTCACTACTGGGAGATGTTTCTCTGCTCCACCTTATTACTGATTAGAATACATATCAATGCTGTGGTGGGTTTGGTTTCATCCAGCTACTGCAACAACATTATACTGTCTGTGTACCAATACCTACAGGATATTTTTTCTTGTCTCTATCCACAGCCATTTAATGGAAAATGTCTGCTAAAATTCTCAGGTCTTCATAGTTTGCAGAGGTTTATGGTGTTTTGTTTTGAAGATCCATAGCTCAGTCCCCAGTGTCAGCAAAGGTGAAGTCTATCAGACCATTTCAAGGCCCCTACGCCACTTTAAATCCAATTTAATTTAATCACATGAAGATACTTTAGTGACGTACAGTACTTGTGCTGGGCCTTCTTTTGTTCTTTAAGAGGAGATAGAAAAAAATGCCTACATTTTCAGGTCACTTCCAACCTGGGTTATTCTATGATTCTATGATTTTGATTTTTTCTAGATACAGTTTTCCAAATTGGTCTCACTTGGATTGGCACATTTGGATTGGGCTTACCTTCAGTTTGCTCAGATTTCAAGTTGAATACTACATGCGAACGTGCAACAGGTCACAAAACTGTAAGCTTAGCTTAAAGGTTAAAAGGTTTTAAAATAGTAATGTATCTCTTCTTGAGAAATTGTGACTTTATGCAACACAATGACCTTTGTAATACTCACTAGTAAATTTGGTCATAAATTTGTAAAATAATGACTGGTTTAGGACTAAGAAATGAATTAAAGTTTCTGTGTTTAGTTCCTATCAAAGCTTTATGGGAAAACATAACATCACACATGAGTGAGACACTGGTCCTGACAACACAGTCAGAGACAAGCTGGAAAAATTTCTTCTTTATGAAAGGGTTGGAGTGGTTTTTTTATCTGTGCAAGACCCAAAAAAGAGAAAGTTTCAATGCAAGTTATATCTGCGTTTAAAAAAAAAGACAATCAAAGAACACCACACCTTCATGGCTTTAACTCTGAGCCTACCATGAGTTCTCCCACATGAAATGTGAGTGAGAGGAACCTCTGTGGGGGTGTGTGTGTTTGTATACATCTAGTCACACAGATATTTTAAAACACTACTGAAATAAAACATTTGAGGGTGAAATGTGTCCTCTTTGAAGCCAATGGCTAAACACCAACCTAAACATGTCCATCATTACCTGTAATTATGTCTTGAGACTAAAACCCCTAACTTCAGGGAACTAATGGGAAAACCTTCATTTGCTGTCAGTGGAACCAGTCTCTTCTCTCCTAGTTTATTACAGATGGTTCTTACCATGAAGATCAAGAGAAATTGTAAAAGGCAGGAATAGAAATCAAATTTTCCATTGGTGTATGGGAAATCTGACTGGCAAAAACATTCAGATATACAGAGATGGAAATCTGAAGATACAAACATGGACTAAAATTATTTGAAATATAAACTTTATTTAATTCAGAATTGATAAATGGTGACAATTTTAGCTATTTCACACATTAACTTTTCTTATTTTATAGTTATATGTAAACACTAAAAGTTACAGCACAGAAATACATGCTTTTGCAAATTTATACTTCAAAATATATTATTTCTCATTAATTTCCTTTTCATATAATTTTAAACACTGTATTTCCTTGTGATTTAAAAAATAAATCAGAAAAGAGAAAAGAAATATATAGAGATATGTAGATACTTTTATAATCAACATATGTTTAATTAAATTGTATTTTGCAGTGAGGTCAGTCTCCTGCTTCAGAAGCTTTCCTGAAAAATACATTTGTGTGGATGAATCATTTTAAGATTCAGCAGTCAGTAGAAGTTGACAGAGGCTTTTCATATGAAATATTACACAACCTTATGAACATCAAAATTATGTGGCAGGAACTGTTCTGTTGAGCACTACAGTCACTTTCCCAGGATCAGATCAATACATTTTCTGTCAAAGAAAAAAAATCTCCTAAAACAATCAGGAAATTTTTTGCAAGAAAATGCTATTTTTTATACAGCTAACAGTGCAATTCCACGCCAATACACATAGGCTCTAACATGCTTTCTGATAGAAGTGAACTGAGGAGGTACTACACAGGTTTTTCAGTACATTTTCACAAAATCAGGCCCATCCTGCAAAAGCTTATGGACATGCTTAACTTTTCACAGAGGTGTTTTTATTTCAATAGGATAAGTCTCTGCCCACAAAGTGTACACATATGTTAAATTTTTAAAAAATCAGTCATACAACATCTTTGGTTCTGATCATAAAGGCAACTGTGTAAGCTCATCCCTTTAAATTGGCTAAATCCCATTTAAAACATGTGAAAGGCTTGTCTTCAAAAACAGGTCTCAAGGTATAGCCAAATTCTGGAAACATTCTGCATATGCATAGCTTTTCAGGGGGGTTATAATTAAAGACTACCTTATTTGATCCCGGTGGACATAGCCATGGTTGCAGAATTGTTTTCAAAGACTTTTCATGTGCTACCTACAGCTCTTTATGCACAGCTCATGTGGAGGCTTCTGAGTAGCTTTCAAAGAATGTCAAGACCTCTTTCTGTATGATATGATACACAAAGATAAAAGAAAGGGCTGATATTTGCTTTTACAGAAATTAGAGTTATTTGAAGGACCAGTCATCATTTGCTCTCTTTGGCTTGGTAGACCTCTATTCTCACTCTCTAGCAGTCAATATTCCACTGTATCAGCAAAAATAATTGGTTTCCTGTGTTGGATTTAACATAATTGCATTGCAACGATTGTAATGGGGTGAGGAAATAAAGTAGTTGTTGAATTGGGCCTTTCTTTTTCGAGTTGCAGAATGTGTTTGAACTGTACAAACCGGATTATTTGAGGCACGGATCCCTGCATGCTTAATTTAAATCCAGTAGATAAGAAATTAGCATTTTTTAGGTTCTGTGTTCTTCTAAATCTTCATACAGGAAAGCTAAATGGAACTGTGACACCATATAACTTCAGGCACATATGTAACTCTGACAAAAGACAATCTCCTCAGATTCTGTTTACAGACAGTAAGAGGAGTTGAGCAACCACCAAAAGAAATCCAGAGTGGGTCCAGAACCAAGGGGATTCTGTATGTCTCTTCACCACTTACAAACAAAAACGAAGGAGATCCTACCTAACTGAATATCCATCTAATTTTACTCGTTCTAGGCCTCATAATATATTGCTTTCATATTCAAAGGACCCAATCACTTAACAAAGAGACAGCTACAATGAACTTAATCTCCCCATTGACAAATCCTTTGGTTATGAGTCTGTGCACAGACCCACTTAGTCATTCATAGATTCTCCTTGAAAAACTGTGCCTGAAGTTTTACAGTTTTAATCCAAACTAAAGCACACAACTTGATAACAATGCCTTTGTTTGTCCTTCACCTTTTGCAGGAGGCTTAAGGTGCATCACGGCTGCCACTTCTAACAGATGCTCAGGGAAAGACATGGAGTGAGGACAGCAGGACACCCTGTGAAGCAACCACAGAAGATGGCAGTAGCTGCAGTGCCTGGTGTCTCGCACGGGAGTCTCACACAAAGCCAAGGTCTGAGTTTTCAATGCCCACCTCCACTTTGGTGGTGCTTACATGGACAATGAGGCTCTGGGAGGGTGCCCTCCTGCTTCCTGATGAGCTGTCATCAACCACATCACTTTCAATCAGGCAAACCCAATATGAGTATCTGCTGCTGTCAGTGTCTGAATACCAGCTTGCTCCTCTGTCTAGGAGTAAATTTCTCTGACAGGAAGGACCACTTGTCAGGTCCCAAGGCTGTTTTTTGAACTTCTGCCAGTGCCAGAAATTTCTTCAATTTCTTAGGTACCATGCAGACTCCCTGGAGCTTGGGAAAGGTACATTCTCTTTTCTTCTCAGAGGTCATAGTGGTACTTTTCTTCAATGATGTCACAGTCATCTACAAAATCCATTTTTGCATCTGAGTGATGCAGACCATGGTGTAAGAGACTCAGTCCTCCACTTGCTCACACTCTTCTCCTTGAATTATTGCAAGAAAGAGAGAAGAAAAGAAACCAAGACCATGTGCTTTGCCCTCTCTGGGGACATCAGGAAAGCCATAGTCCACTCCAAACATCCTTGGACAAGTTGCACCCACCAGTCTGCAGTACCATTTCATATTAGCCCACCTACAAATTAGGACTGGTATTGGTAGAGACAACTATCCCCACCCTTAAAAACCCTTGCTTTCATGCAATCCTGTGGCTGGTCCTGGAGTGACAGCAAAAGTGAATGTTTGTGATAAATTTCAACTCAAATTCTCTTCAAACATTTCTTTTTGCAGAACTGTGAGGCTTCAAATTTTCATTGTCTCCAGCCAAGAGAGAATGTAAAATGGCTTCATCAGGTGCAGCAAAGAAGCACTTCAGAATCCACCCATAACTCAACAGACACAAAGTAAATGTATTCAATAAATATTTTATTTTGACACATAGTACATATTTGTACTTTAAGCAAATACTATAGCCAAAGGGATGCTCACAAAAACATTGACAAAAAAGAAATAGCAAAGCATAAAATTATAATTTTTCTGAACAGAGATATTTTTGTGCTTAGAAGAACTTTTATATTATTCATTGAGTACCATTTATGTGCTCTGTACTGCTAAGAATGTATAGCCAGCCCTGGGATAAATATTTTCAGAGTCATCCAAGTGATTTGGAGACTAAGACCTACTGACTGTCAGTAGTTATTAGGTGCTTTTGATGGTGTTACCTGTCTTGTGCAGTCCACAGGGCTCCCTAACTAAACCCTTGAGGGCACTGAGACTTTCTGTTTACTTCAAAGGCTCTGTGTCAGGTCTGCAAGGTGCTGTAAGATCTCTATGAGGATATGGGAACATTTCTGGAACAACAGACTGCTTTGGACTACGAGGATTCTTTTACTGAGGATAACATCAAGCATTTTTAAGGAGATGACACTCACTGCTAAAATGCAAACAGCTGAGGGAGTGGCTCTAGGATAGTGCTGCACGTGCATTTTGTCCTTTCCAGTGAATTAAGAAGAAAACCTACAAAAACAACATCCTAGTTTGCTTCAAACTGCTGCAGTCTTCACTCACACCTTATCCATGGAAACCTCAAGTAATCTTTGGCAAACCTGCAGCATCCTATCAAGACTAGCAAGGGAAAAAAAAATGACTCACCTTGCTCTCTTCTGTCTACTCGAATTTAAAAGAATGAGGGCTGCCTTTTGTTATGAAACCCAACCTTGTGGGGATTCCAAGCTGAAGAGCACGAGTGCCTGAAAATATCAGAGAACTGTGCCTTAGCAAGAGAAACAGGGAGTGAGTGGAGGAGCCATTCTGTTGATTTTGGAAGGAGTGGCAAAAGTTCCACTGACTTCAGCTGGGCATGAGCCAGGCCCACTGGGCATAAAACTCCTCTTGGCATGTCTTCCATCTTCCACACACAATACTGACAGGGGTCCTACAGACAAAATTTAATTGATTGTGGCACTCGGACATCACACAGAAATTGTTTCTTTGTGGTAGAGTCTACCTGTGTGTAAAGAATCAGCACAAACAGGACTACGAGGGACTTGGATGGCACATAGACCTTGTTTTGTTCCTCTGCATAATTGAATTCCACCTTTGGAGAATAAGAAGGAAAGTCTACTTCTTGATGGTTAGTCTTCTCTTACAACACGACTGATGACTGTTTTTAAAATATTTGCAAAGGCATATATGTATTATACTAAAGAAAGGTGTTAGTTTGATGGCATTGGGGAATGAAACCTTAGACTTAATCAGAGATAAGAAATAACCCTTTAATACTTTCATAAAATCTCTAGTTGAAACAAAGATACAGCAGCATCCTACGGCTTCATTAGTCCCCAGCACTACAACTGTTTCCTAACAGATTTTTACAGAGCCAAATACAGAGGACAAAGATCAACAGGATGCTATTATCAAGCACCATGTGCTGGGAAAGAGTAAATGCTGAAACAGTCTGTGCTAGCATCCTTGTTGTATTATCTCTGCATCCATGGATAGTGAGAAAATGAGGACTTCTTAAAGAACATCTAAAGAAATTGACCTTCATCTTATTATTATGCTAAATTACTACTTCATCATACATAAAGGAGTCTCAAAGTGGACTAGGACAGTTGCCATATTGAAACGTCTGAATTTTGTAGGATATTTCTCCTGTCTTTGTTTCACACATACACACATGACTGTTCAGCATGAAAGTTTACTAGCCAGCAATCCACAAAATTTCTCAAAGCACACAGAAGTTTTGCAAAAGAAAGGAATTAGTTCCATTGGCAAAGTATGTGTTTGGTTACTGCCACAAGAAAGCAGACTACCCCTACAGACTTCAGTCCAGGGATGACAACCTGGCAAAAACACACTCCGGACTTACTTCAGTGTCATTGTAAAAGCTCTGAAAAAAGCTGGAGAACAGAAGAGGTCAAAACAATATTTTACGAGAGAGTTTGTATTCTAACAAAAACAGCAACAAGATTTCACCAGCTGGGTCTTTTCTTGGGAAGACACTGAACTGTAACAGGGAAGGTAGCAACCACACAGTTTTTTAGCCAAAACCAAATAAGAACCTTAGAGAAAGTACATTATTATTAATAGTAACAGGAAAATGCTTAAAAAATATTTGGGCCCTTTCATTAAACCATCGCGGTTGATTACATAAAAACTAGTTCTGAAGAGGGATTCTCTATCTGTTACTTGCCCTAAACCATAAAGGAGTACAGATGTGAGGAAACTCATTTTTCCTCGATTAAAAGTGCTACTGAATTGTGTTCAGCATAAGGAGAAATACCGAAATAAGAAAAGCAATAAAACAAACTAGTGGGAACAACAATGGGGGCAATTTCCATCCATGTGTTGGCAGGGTGAAAAAACAGCACAGAGAAAAGATAGAGAAGTGAAGGTGGCAGCGGAAATATGTGAAACAGAGTGTGCCCATATTCCTACTTGAGTGTGTCTTGGAGTACAAGGGGCGTTCCAGCCTTTCCTACCATGACAGAACAACTCAGCAGGAAGCACAACATATAAACAGCAAGATTTTTTCCCTCAGGGGTCAATGCTTATAATCAGAAATCAAATGAAATTAATACAGAGGCAAAACTGATAAAAGAAGAACCACAAAAAATCCCTAGCATAGGACCCCCTACTTCAATAACAGACTTTCAATGTGTGGTGGCCCTTGCACTCTCATTTTCCTAGAAAATATTTTTCTACAGGGCTACAGACAGATTAGGCCTAACCTGAACATTGAAGGAGAGGTGCTCTAGCCATTCTGCCATGCAAGTTTATAACTCCCAGTCACATGTTGTGTCCAACTGTTGGACCATTTAGAGGCACTGACGTTCAAAGCAGCTCAGTGAAACCAGGCACCTGTGAAACCAGGCTCTTCCATCTAGCAGTGTTTCAAGGCCATTGCTGCTAGTTCAGTTGGGTTGGCAACACTTCATTCAGAGAATTCATATTGTAAAACATCTCAAATTATTGAACTAGCAGACAGCTAAAGTGATTCTTGCCCTAGTTCCCAGTAATTTTTTTCCAAATGCAATTGATATCCAATAGTTTCAGTCCACATTTCATGTTTGTGTACACTGTATCTTAATAGTATCCCTGTTTTTCCTTCCCCATTTCAGAAACAGGATTAAACATTCTGGAAGTGGGCTTGACAATTAAATATTTTAATCCTTAGGTATATATGTTGTATTACCCATGATCTTTCCTATGCTGATAGGCACAAATTTAAGAAAAACTGTTGTATTTTGGTCATGTTCATCCCTGCATGATGGGATGAATCTCACAAAAATACTGGATGAATGTAAATTTTGTGGAAGTGAACTTACTCCTGGAAATAACCTGTATTCAGACTTGCATGCTTACCCCATTTCCATATATTTAGCTCTTTCTGCTTGTAAATTTGTGTGTACAATAGAGTTCAGTCTATAAGTGTGTTAACAAGCAGGTGAAACTGTGGAGACCTTATTCGTGTTGGTGGGCATTTACTTAGGTCATTGTACCTCCCGAGAAAGTGCTTGTCAACACGTATTACAGCCCCACAATCTAGCTTCACATAATCAGGTTCTGCCTGTATGCTCCACAATGAAGCATTTCCATCCCTTGAAAAAGAGCTGCATGTGGAATCAAGCAAGCAGATATTTTTACCCATACAATTTTCCTCTTGCCAGAAAGCTGGTTGGATTTCATTTGCTTTTTGTTTGTTTGCATATTTGCTTGTTTATTTGTTTTTATGAGGCAGCCCATGGGGAAATGCCATTTACACTTAATATTTTTTTTTATTTATTTTGATAGTAAATGCAAACAATTCAATGAAGATAAACATTCTTGTTGGAATAAGTTGCACGAGAAATATGAAACATTTCTAATGAAATGTATTCATTTGAAATTGGAAGGTGAAGGGGTTCCTGTCAAGTAAAATGTGAAATACTAGGAGGATTTGTCCTTAAGGAAATAACACTTCCCACACCAGTTAACACTCTATGTGGTAAGGAAAGGAAACAGAAGAGGGTGCATGGTCACAGCTTCTGCTCCACTCATCCACACACGCCTGTTACACCTGCATATGTGGATGTAAATTGCTGAGCTCAAAATTATACCACTGCCAGCATGAAGGCAGAGCCTTAAGAACTGCCCCACACTGATTGACATGAATGTGATCCTTTCCAATAATTTTGTCAGGGTTTGGTGCAGCACCATTCTCAGAATGGGTTCACACGGCATCACTACTTTGTGAGGGCAGCCAGGGAGCAGCTTCACTTTTTTGGACAATTCAGTATCGTATTTCAGGCACGGGGATGGTTCTAGGTCTATGTCTATAACTTCAGGATGGAGAAAACTCGGTTTAATTTCCTCTTTGGCCACCATCTTCCACTGTCGCTTAGGAAGAGCCACTGTTCCTCTTTGTGCCTCAGTTTTCTACCTGTAAAGCAGACATAATAAAACCTACTCTCTTACCATTTGGAAATGAGGTGAACATACTTTGGAGTTAGTAGTAATCTACATGTAAGCAGCATGGGTAAAAGAATGGATACAGGACTGGACTCTGGTTGCTACTGAACCACAAGGTGGCTTAGATACAGACACACACTCCTATCTTTTCAGTGACTGAATCCTGCAAGGGCTTGTTGAGACCTTTATGTTCCCTCACAGCCCGCTAAAGCTAATGCCGAATCCTTCTGCAAGGTTGCTACAAGCCCTTTGTGCCAACAATTTTCTGTAGAAAGCTCAGTACACCCATCTGCCCACTGTTGTTACTGTTTGCACACAGAGATATAACTGTTACCTGTCACTTCAGCTGCCTGAGATTCTTAATCTACCCCCTGCTCTACCATGGCATCTGTCAGATTTTCCCCTGAATCCTTAGGGGCACATTCTGCTGTCTGCATACTCTTGGAGGGGTAAAGGCCCAGGTTAATTTGCTCATTTCCTCACCTGCTTTTATAACATATATTTAATGAAACAGGCCTTTGGTGCAGCAGCAGGCAGAGAAGAGAAGCTGGGGGGGGTGGTGTGCAGTGGTTTCCACTGCTCTAGAGCTCATGTGCTGATGCGTGAATCTCTACATGCCACCCTGCTCGGTGGCCAGTGCTATTACTCCCCCTTGTAATGACCTTTCTGTGATGGCCTTGTCCTTAAGGAAACGTCTCTGACCCCACTGGCAAATGTCATATTTAACATTTCATCCTCAGATAAAAATGGCTTTGAACCCCAAAAATATGAGTACCAGAAGTATTTTCTTGTTACTGAAGTATGGGAAAACCAGTTTTGGCACAGATGTGCCAATGAAAAGCAATTTTTGTTTGGCTTTCAGTGTTTTGCATACCCATTCAGAAGCAGAGTGAGAAAAATATAAATAAAAATAATCTATATAAAACTACATAAACAAATGTGGTTACACAAACGAATTCCCTCAAATCTTTTCAGTAACAAAAACTTGGGATGTAGCACTGGCTGAATGAGAAATCTCAGACCAGGTCTTCAGTCTACTTGTTGCCATCTGTATTGCAAAATAAGAGATCCTGACAAGTATTTATAAACTGATGATAGCAGAATATTCTGCTGTAGTCAATGGGCTCCATCACTGCTTTTCATGTTGTCAGGATTTCACTCACTGATTGTAAAGTTTTGGAGCAAGAAACGCATCTCAACATAAAGCTCCAGCTTCACAAGGAAGACAGAGAAGTGACAGACCTTTGAAGCCAAAGTCACTTGTATCTGGGCAGGTCTCTTTGGAAGCATCAAGGTCATGCAGAGGCTTAAGCTTATGTGCATGAACAATTCCCTAAAAGTCAATAGATGAGTACATAAACCTCCCTTTGACTGGAACCTAAGTTTGGATGTAAGGCACTCTAGTACTTTTCAAAATAAGGATTTTATATGTGCAGATAAAGCAGAGTGGAATCAACAGTCAGCCTGGAAATTTAAGAATGAAGGGGAAATAATAATTAACTCAATCTGAGCACTGCTGAGCATGCATGACTTGAGTTCCTCTCAGTAGGACTTCAACAGAGTCACAGATTTAAAGTTTCTTTATGAACATCCAGTTCA